GCATGAAAAATATTTGGTAAATAGCCTACACCGCCCTGCCCGTTTCCATTCCTATTCCCACGCGTCCTTCAGCGGCGACCTTGCTTGATGCATTGTCATGCGCCCTTCTGATAGTCACTAATTGCCACAAGTGTTTGGGCCAGCCCCGCTCTTCTTACACTCATTCGAGTCGGCCAGTATTTGACTTGCTTTTTGTCGGTGATTTGGCTTTTGATTCTTTCTCTTCATGCCTGCGCACTTTCTTTGTGGCTTTGTGGTCAGACTCTGAGTGGGCCCGACATGGGTCGCACTTTAGCACGCTAAACGATATAAATCGCACGCGTATTTATCAGTTAAAAAGTCAGACAGCTCAGCTATTGTTGCCACATTTGGAAGGCACGACGCGTCGGTACAAACAACATTTACCGGCCTTTTTGTGCAGAAATAGGGGCGTGCTTCCTAATATTTATATAGTTGCGTGTTCTCTGCAATACGTGTAAGATAATATCATTGCTGCAGACACACGTATACTCAACTACATAGCAGAGTATATTATCCGAAACTACAGTAGATGGTTAATTGGAAAGCTGATCGTTTAAAATAGTCGTCCTAATACATTGATTACAATTATCTTACACTTATATAGTAAGTATTTTAACAGTTTTGGTGCAGTTCCAATTCCTCTGAAAACGTTCCAATCCTTACAAGATTTCCATTTAGCATGCCTCTTAAAGTCGAGCACATATTTCCAATAACTAATAGTTATTAACTGTAGTATATGAAGGTAAGTTTACCCCCTCCTCCTTCAAGCCACTTGGAAGCATAATCTAATTATATTTAGATATACTGTTTTTAATTGTGCCCATGGCGTTCCAATGTTATCCAATTCAGCAAGCACAGTTCTAATCCAGGCATTGCGGAGCCTTCCTCTTCCTCTGCTTCCCTGGGGACTCCACTCTAATGCAGCCCGGTTCATATCATTGTGGCTGCTGCCCAAGATATGTCCAATCCAACTCCATCGTCGTCTTCTGCTGGTAACAGTTACAGGTTCTTGATTTGTCAATTGCCAAAGGACGCGTTGCTTATCGTGTTGGGTCGAAAGCATTTTGAGATGTTTCTTAGACACTTGTTATTGAATATATAGAGTGTATATAGGTCGTTCGCATATCATCGCCATGTTTCGCATCCATACAGTAGAATTGTTTTTGTAGATGATGATTCGTAAATTCGCAAATTAGTGGGATAATAATTTTGCATATATTGCTACGGCTTCTGGTGAAGTACCCCAGCTAAAAATTACTTTAATTAAAAAGGTCCGTAAGAAAAAGAGAAAGGACATCGTGAATTTTACTGCTGTGTTGTGTCGGAATTCTCGAGTTCAGTGGAAGTGTCGTATATAAATCGTGATGTCTTATCATATAGCTGTCATAAAAATAATATGATTTTGGGAGAGTATACTTATGTATGAAAATTGCTTAGTGAGAATGCAAGCAGCATTTTCCAAAAATGTTCAGCAAATTTTCAAGTTTTCCAGCAAATAATTAAAATGTTGATTAAATAAGGCACGATGCGTTAAAATAATACGATCAACAGAAAAAGTACAAGAAATCCAACTCAGTGCCATTTTAGTGCGAAATTGTGCGCCATAATAATGATTGCGAAAATTATTTGTAAAGATTTAGGGAGGGACATGCCTGGTGTTATTCCCGAATAGTGACAATCGAGGACCAATTTCGAAATATGTAAAATATTTACATTATATTTATTAGGTTTTTATTGTAAGGTCTACTGAAAACATCATATAATACTTGTAATCAGATCACACTTCTTAGCTCGTTTTAAGAACAACCCTGCTGTATCTTTAACATTAGCAGTACAGGGACAGGGTTTCTCAATTCAGAGGTAACACCGATCTCTTGGTGTCATAAAGCCTACACAGTTTCAGAAATGCTATGCAAACATCAAAACGTAGAGCTAAAAACTCAGAATACATGTGGCACAAATTTTAATGCTTCTGTAATCCTTTTGCTGACAAGAATCTTAAGCCTTAAAACTTAACCGAACCGAAACAGCTTGCGCCCATAAGCCATGTCATGTGACGGCAGCCCCAAGAAACTCAAAATCTTTTGCTCTCGGCGCGTGTTCCAACTGACAGCTGACAGCAGCCGCACATTCCCCAGTCCCCAATCCCCAATCCCCAACCGGTGTCATATGTGTTCGTCGGTAACAAAAATTCATTTACTTATCATTTTTATATCGTATTTTTATTTCACATGCCTTTTGTGTGCGTTTCTTTTTCAATTGCAAGACATACTGGCGCACCAATTTAAATACAAAGTGTGTTATAGTTTGTGGCCAGTGTCAAGATTTTGTTGATTGATGACAGTCCAAGTATTGTGTATTTTGGTATTCCACTAATGCGTCGGAGATACTCACATACGTGTAATGAGCAACGATTGATCTTTGAACCGTGCAATAACAAAGGAGGAGATGTGGAAGTTGTCTATCAAAATATTTTTGGACTTGCGGTTGAACTTGGATGGAGTCAGTGGAGGGGTCAAAGGTGTCAAGACTACGGCATACACGTATGTATGTGCACTTGCACTCCACTCCAGACCACACAAATACAAGTAGAAACCAACAGCAAAAGTTGGCACTGCCCGCCAGGCCTAGTCTCAATTACTACCTGCTGTTTAGAAATTCCGCTCCAAACGTCATCGAAAATGATCGATACTCCGCCCAAATTACAAAAGCACAGACATTTCCCAAAGCTCAGTGGCAATCCAAAGTTAAAAACGATAAAATTGTTCAGTAAGCCTCTCCGACAAAAATGAAAGCCACAAAAGCCGGGGCACCACAGTAGCCGAGATGATACTCGGACTCAGAGTGGGGCTCGTCGGTCTGTGCCACTCGCTCGGTTTCTCTTTCGCTTCTGGCTGGTTGAGTGCCTCTTTTTCACATACTCGCATGTATTATTGATGGCAAAGTAATAACAAATTAATAAATTGTTTAACATTTAAAACCTAATTGATTTTTGCTTTGTTTCTGTACAAGCGCTTTTTCTCATGGCGTTTCTTCGTTCCTTTGTAGCGTCTGCCGTCTCGCGGTTGGCATAATTAAGTTTTATTGTTGCGTGTGTGTTGAAAGATTAATAGCCGACTTCTGTATTTTCATAGCGTTTCATTCGTTAAGAGTTGTTTATGTTGTTTTTTCCCCCTTTTTATTTATCTGCTTTAATACACATGTGAATATTCGTTGCTTTGTGAGCGACTAAACAGTGGGCGTTCCGCTTGCTGCTGGCTATTTTGTTTGGTGGCTTTTGGGTGTGGTTTCTTGACTTTTAAGCGTGTCGATCATTTTTCTTTTCTCAAATTTGAAATCGAACAGTGCTTTTTTAAAGTCAATTTTCAAAATACAAAATGCGTTCAGTTAGGTGTCGACTAAACCGATTCAGTGGCGTGAAAAGAATATGCACTTATACCTGATCAGCGTGACAACACAGCCGGACCGGAAACTTTCTGTTTGCATTTCTTATTAAGCAGTGAACACTCGAAAACGATAACCACATTCGAAATAACACCTTATATATACATATACATATATTCTTAAAGTCCATGGAGCGCCGAAGATCTATTAGGAACATCTTGAACATCCCATTCGCTGAAAATACGAATACCTTCTCAAATTTTCCATGAAACTGAATTTCTACAAACATGCTTGCATGATATTCTTCAAGTTCCTGCAGGATACTATTTGTATATTTCTTCGCCACATTACTGTTACCCAAATAGGGGAATAATTATAATATACTCGTACACGAATTTACGAAAATTTCATAACAACCGACAAAAACGAAAGTGACACATTTTTTAAGTCGCCCTAATTTCACCTTTTCCTTTCCTATGCTTGCTTAGCGCTCAATTTTTTCTGTACCTCACTTATTCTTACTTGCAACGGCCTATCATTAATTATGGACAAACTCCAAAATCCATTCGCCTTTGCTATTGATTCACTAAATAGTTGTATTCCTCGCTTTCGAACCGGAAAGGATTACCGCAGGTTCTTCTGACCACAAAATACATGTGAACCACACACGCGCCGGAAATAAACGGGACAACTTTTAATCAAAGTCAGTGGGGAAGGTATTTCCGCTCTGCTGCGCACCTCATAATGCAACTTGTGGCAAGGACAGCGCATTTGAAGTCACATAATTCCTGGCCATTGTTGGTGGGTCTTGAAAAATGAGCTCGTGATCTTGTTGAATAATTCCAATGTGTTTCGGCTCCCTTTGATCTTAAGCCATTTGGTCCTGTTCCCAAACTCCCGCTGTCAGTTTATTGTGTAATGAACACTCCAAATAATTTGGCATGGCCACAATATGGGCGATTGGGCTATCCACAACCTCATTGCCCTTACCACACATATAGTACTCAAACGCACGCTTCACACCCGATTGCCAATGGCGGCAAAGACGGAGGCATTTGCTTTTGTAAACAGATGCCGAAGTTAATTGGCGCTCTTGAAGCAACACTCCGTTGACAACTTGCCGATCATCTTTATCTGTAATGTGATATATTGTGTCACTTGTCAACTGCTGCTGCTTTGCGAGCTGCCGGAGACCACACCCCACATTTTAGGAAGTTTTCACATACTCGTACGCATTACATTAATACATTCTGATCTTTGAGGCTCAATCGATGGCGGCATCGGCCTTTTGACAGATTTGTTGCGCTCCCTGACGTTTCAATTAATATGCAATGGCGCGCAGAGATGCTGCGACCGCAGTATCTGCCTTTCCATTCATATGTTAAACGCATGACTATGGTGGCTGGAGAGCCGCGGGATCGCGGGATCACACGATCGGCGGCGTTGGTGGCCCCGTCGCTTGAATCGACAATCGGAATATGATTTGGAAATATTTTCCCTTGAGAAGCGTGAACAATTTTATGACTTCTTACGAGGCGTTAATAATTTTGTTAGCATTTCAATAAAGAAAACCGAAATATTCTCAATCCTTGCAGGTCGCGACTCCGACATCAGCGACACAGAATCTGAACCGGGCATACCGCTGAAGCGCAAGCAGCGCCGCTCGCGCACCACCTTCACCGCCGAGCAGCTGGAAGCACTCGAGCGAGCCTTTGGACGCACCCAATATCCGGATGTGTATACACGTGAAGAGCTCGCCCAGACCACAGGGCTAACCGAGGCGCGAATACAGGTTTGGTTCTCCAACAGGCGCGCCCGACTGCGCAAGCACTCCGGTGGCTCCGGATCGGGCCTGTCCCCCATGAACGGTGGTGGTGGCGGAGTGGGTGTTGGTGTAGGTGTTGGAGTGGGTGTAGGTGTGGGTGCCAGTGCCGCCAGCGCTCCCCTAGGCTTTGGTCCACTCGGTGTGGGCGTTGGCTCCATGGCCAGCTACAGTCCAGCCGCCGGCTCCACAGCGAGTGCAGCAGGCATGAGCGACACCCATCACACGACCCACACATCCTCGCATCACAGTGCGGCCGCGGCGGCCGCAGCAGCTCACCACCACACACAAATGGGCGGCTATGATCTGGTTCAGAGCGCGGCGCAACATGGCTTCCCCGGCGGCTTTCCCCAGCACGGACATTTCGGCAGTCAGAACTACTACCACCAAGGTGAGTCAAATAACCAGTCTATTTTGGATTTATGTATAACGATCGCAGATTGAAATACAACACAAGTTTATAAACTTAATTAGGGATGTGGCATTTAGAAAGCAAGTAAGCACTTTCAGAATTACAATTAATGTATCAACGGCATTTTCCCATAACTAAATTATACTGATATCAATCACAATGTTTTGGCCAACATGGTGAACTAACTACAAAAATGTAATTCAACTTTTAAGTTGCTCGAAACTGAACAAACAAATTGTATATGTACTTTTAATTAGTATATCTTAGAAAGTATAGCCACGAAAAGTGACCCATCAGGTTTTGGTTTATTTTTGTTCTTTCTATGCACTGCCCTCCTTCATCACAATAAGCTAGTGGTTTAAATTGTTCTTTTTAGGAATATTGACAAGTGTGAAAGCTTTGTCAAATTATATGCTTCTAAATGAAATTAAATTTTCGCGGGCTATGTTTATTCGACTATCGATATATATTTTTTTTGTTATGTTGGCACACATACATATGTTTATCATATGTTGGCATTATCAGCCTATTTGGATTAGTAGTTTGTTATTGACAACTGAAAAGGTTATTCACGTTTTTGTATGTTCTTCGATTCATGACTTTTGAAAAAAATGGATCAAAGAATATGCATTAACATTTTCCTACATTGCCAAAACTGAAGAGATCAATGAAAGGAAAGCGTTTTGCAAAAATTGATGAGATAATGTCAGAATCGAAGCACGAGTTGATGTCCTGATGCTTCGAGGATTGTAATAAACGCTGGCATAAGTGAATTTTATCTGAAAGGGATTTCTATAAAGGCGATATTGATGAATAAATGTAAATAAATAATAAATATTTTTCAAACAAAATTCAAAATTTACATTTGTCTTTGAACAGACCTTGTACGTATACATCCAAAGAGAAGCACGTTTAGGTTTATTGCTTTTTTGTACCCCCCACGTCCCCGTTGAAAACATTGTAAAGTAACTCCTCTTATTCCTGCCATTTGGTTCTCAAATGCAATCCCATTCTTTCGTAGCCTATTTAGCCATGTGGCAAGTTTTATATGCCAATTTTAGCATCATGTTTGCATTTCACAGTTGCTTCTAAAATTGTAAAAGCAGATTGTTTTTTATTAATTTTGCAGAAATATCTACAAGTGGATAGGAGTGTATACTTATAGTGCAATTAACGCATTCATTGATTAAGTTAAACTAATGTTTGCTCTGTTACAGATTACTCCAAGCTGACCATCGATGACTTCTCCAAGCTAACCGCCGACAGCGTCTCGAAGATCTCGCCCTCGCTGCATCTAAGCGAGAACTACTCCAAGCTGGAGTCGCCCTCCAATTGGTCGCAGGCCGCCTATCACCTCAATCAGTCAGCTGTGGCGGCGGCCAACTACAATCATGCCGTGGCCCAACATTCGCTCAACGACTATGCGGCGGCTGCCCATGGCAACCAACTGAACAGTGCGGCTGTGGCTGCGGCCGCTTACAATCACCCACTACCCGCGCAGGGGCAGGCCAAGTATTGGTCATGAGTTGATAAATACACGTATAGCGATCAGACATCATTCCGAGACTTGTATATTGATTTGCACGTTCCATTCGTTCCATACTCACAGGCACACACCCAAGACATTTAGTTAGTTGAATTTTAATTATCACCAGAGGCACATAAACGAATACGAGTACACTTAAGTATGATAAGCAACTATTTATTCTACAGGTGCTTCGATCGCATCTACGAAACACACACCTTGCCTATAATTTAAGATTTTCCCGCTTACTGTATGTACATTAAACGGCTTTTAAGCACATAAAGTCAGCATATTCCCAGTAAATCGCAGAGCCACAATTACTTGCGATTTCGTGTACATTATGAGATATAAGCATATGTATTTCAAATATATACTTGTATAATACAAATACGTACCAGTATCAATTTAGCTGAAGCGCGTTTTATTTCTTGCAATATTAGGCTTTGGGAGCTCGTGAAGGGGAAAACTGAGTGGAAACTTTTGAAAGGGAAGGGGGTGGAGGAATGCATCACAAAAAAAAAACACAAACTCCTCCTTTATCGGACTCAGAAGAATCTGGACACCAACGCTTGTTATTCTATACTTTCTGAGATCCTTGCGTTCAGACGGGTATTTCTATATCGACTCGTCATTTCACGCTGGCCAAGACATAAGTATATACACTGTGGGGTCTGCTACGTCTCTTTCTGTGTGTTACATGTAAGCTCGCACTAAATCAGTATGCCCTTTGTATACAGGGTATAAGCAGAATTCATCACTTACGCTCGCTCTTAGTCAAATTCGGGTTGACTGATGCATCTGGAGCACTACGATTGAAACGCACTTTTATTAATTCTCACATTATTATTACCAAGCCTAGCTCTTTTGATTATTAAAACCATAGCTTCATTCTTATCCCTGACTTGGAGGCCATAAAATTCTCAATATGCAATTTGAATGCCTTATTGAAAACACTTTTTAAAAAGGTCAGTAATGCGATCCGATAAAAATGTTTAAAGCTGTTGGAGAATGAAAAGTGGTTAATCAAGCAGATAGGCAGATATTTCTTAGAAATTTACACAGCGCGATTATAGTCATTTAAAAATGACTAAAACTGGCAGATTAAATATTAATGATTTAAACTATTTTTATTTCTGCATAGATTGTAATATTATTTCAGTTCACAAACTATTATTTCGTAATAATATTACAATCTATGCAGAAATAAAACTGTCAGATTTAAATATTAATGATTTAAACTATTTTTATTCCTGCATAGATTGTAATTTTATTTCAGTTCACACACTATGATTTCTTATTCTTCGAAGAGTTTAGTCAAGTATATTCTTACTCCACTTACATTCAATATCAGTGTACTATATGATTGTTCCAAGGCATCTAGATCCCACTGGTTTTTGAATGCGATTTCAACAGGCCCATTAAATGAAACAAGACAAAGTAATTATTTCAGTAATGTAGAAGCAAACCTGTAATCGGTATGTATATATTTTTATTAATTTTGGGTTTTTATATAATTGTGTAAATAGATATAGCCTTTCGATAACATTGTTTCCTTCTATTTTTTACAATGTCTATTTGGGCAGTTTCCACTGCTCTGTCGGGATAATTAAACAAATTAAATATCAATGTATATATTTTTAAATTGTTATACATTTAGTTTCAAGTAAAATAAATATGAAAGATAATTATTGACAACATCAGACTTATAATTACGCACATTGAATATGTTTTTTATGGTTAACATACATATACATATATATATATATATTGATTTTTTTTTACATTTTCCATGCTCAGTTGCTTTAAATAATTCTAAAAACGTATATTATTAAAACAAATAACTACATAGGTGTAAAAACACACAATTGTGTTAATAAATGAAAATACTTTATTATTGTCAATTTTTCATTTATTGTCTGATTTGGTGAAGCCTTCGCAAAATTTATTGTCTTTGACGCAGTTTTTGGAATTTTATTTCAACTCTCGGCTCTAATTATGAGAATTTGTCGCGACACCTAAGCTAGTTTTCTAAAATATTTATACATATATTTTCACTACTAAAAAGTTAATATTGTCAATTCGTTTCCACACACGTATGTATAAATATGAAGTATATATATATATATAGAGGAAGAATTCGCAATATATATGTATTTACTTAGTAGAGATTACTATGTATTTGAAACATGAGACAAAATGTAGTTGAGGAGAATATTTCGGTTGAGCATATCTGTTAGAGTTCAAGACTTCAATCTAAGGTACAGAATTGGCACTAATATTTTTTTCTTTTGCGTTTTAAAATACATAGAATAATAACCGAGCGATATGATTTATTTTGATATTTAACGTTTTGCACTGATATCAGTTACCTCATTACTGTTTCCATCTTCAAATTTCTTTTTATAGTACATGTGTACGATATATTGTATATTGGTAGGTATGTATATAGATTTTGCCCCGCAACTATACTTGCCAGATCCCCAGCAATCTGTTAGTTGCGAGTGAGTGTTGCAGGTGTGTGTGTGACGCATGCTTGTAAAGGACTCTTTACTTGGACATCTACGAACTACAAGGTTTTGTATAACTTTAATTATAATCGTATATTGTATAGAGCATATTGTCAATAGCATATAATTAATATTGATAATTATCCATGGGTTCATTGGTGCGTCGAAATTCGCGTTGATGCAGTGCTGTAATACGCGGCGGAGTGCCCCAGGAATGGAATGGTGGATAGGATCGCAGTGTAGCCGCGGAGTCGGGAAGCCTGTTGGTGGCAATGCTTCGAACAGCGGCCTTATTGGAATCAACGTAGAATTTGGGCAGACGACCGCGTATGCCAGCACCACTCCAGTTCATCATCGGTTGGTTGGGTAGGAAACAGCGTTTACAAACGGCTGCGATTGGTTGACGCAGTCGCTCGTGTTGGGGGAAGTACTCGACCTGTTGGGATATTGAGAAAATATAATTAGGAAGAATTGCAGAAAACTTGCACCACATCGAACATGAATAAAATATCTATATTCTTTATGATCCATAGCAGCTACATTTTTGTAAGATTGCTCTACACAGCATCAATCAGGTTCTTGAGCTACACAGCTAGTACGTGTATTCAAATGCTAGCTTGAAAACGCCAGTACACATTACTGTACTACATGCAACCTATTAATAACTCCTCAACACCACTAACAGCAAAACAATAAAATAAGAAACACACTTGCAATAATTCAAACATGCCAATAATTAATAAACATGCCAATACAAAAGTAGGTACAGAAGAAAACAATTACACAATAGCCCCCATTTTGTAAGTTAAGCTTCGTATGCATTTTTTGTTCAAGACTTAATCAGGTAAATATAAATTTAGTTCCCAATATAACATGTCTCTTACAGAAATAGCTCGAGCGAAAAAAGTAGTCCATCAAATTTTTGTGTGTCATAGAAAAAGAGCTGTTTATTATTATTTGTACTGATGCCATCCGAACACCAGGCAGCTATAAATAATTTACATTTGGTTAAATGCGACCAAATAATTTTCTATTTATTCTTAATTTTTAGAAGTGAAACTTCATATGTGAGGGTTTTGAATGGGTCCTATGGGCGATATTTCACAACAGCAGTTGATTTGCCTTCTGCTTAAATATTTAAATTTGTTAACAAGTTTTATAACTAATTGTGGCAGTGTTTTAATCCATTTTCTAGCGGTTCTTCTATACATTTACGGATTTCTTGTCCATTTTCTATCTATTTGTGATGGTTTTGCATACATTCTAGCATTTTCTACCCATTTATAGTCAGTTTTTTAGCCTTTTTTAGCGGACTTTCTTGGTAATTATAGCGGATTTTCTAGCAAGGTCTCTAATAATTTTTAGACGATTTTCTAGCCTTCTTCTACCTACTTATAGTTGTGTTTCTAGCCATTTTCTTCGATAACTATTTTCTAGCCATTATTTTCAAGCGAAATGTACTTTATCCACCAATCATTGTTGAGAAATAATAAAAGCTCCCCTTACCAATTTAAAAAAAAACTCAAATTTAATTTTCGAATACAACCACTAAGTTTCACTTCGCCTTAATCGGCTCTAATTTCTAATATATGTATGCATATGAAATGAAGCCTACTGAAACGTCATTAACAAAACTTACAATTCACAAGCCATTTAACGTTTCAAAAAAATATAAAAAAGCTCTATATCTGTAACAGTTCAAAAAATGATATTGGGTCTTAACATATGTATGTATGTATATGTATACGACATCATACATCCCGAAAACTATGCAATAAGTTTTTTGTTCTTCTCTACCACGGGTGAGTTTCTGTTTTCAGTTGGTTAGTTTCGGCGGCAGCGAAAAGTATGCTGCAGTTTATTTTAAAATGCCACCACGATGTAGATTCTCCACAACTTCAGCAATGCCAATCTCCTTTATTATTTACCTTTATAGTTCCCTATCTATATTGCATTTTATTTATTAACTGCCACTTGCTATTCCACAGCTGTTCAATTTAGGGCTTAATTATTGCCTACTGTTTATAATTTCACATTCCATCATTATCATTCTTTATGAATGTGAAAATTCTTTTTACTCGAATATAAGTGAAATACATTAACGTTAACATTTAACATATTCCTAGAATTCTCGTACTTTCCTTTCAACAATCATGGAAAAAGTACCAAAAAATAACTAGTTGAATTTATTAAAGGTAACCCATTAGGTGTTAATATAAAATGAAATATAAATTACTTTCAGCCTTTTGCAGTTTCTGTTATATAAAATTCATCAAATTTCTGATTTAATGCTGATAATGCTTTCGACTAGCACGAGGTAGTGGAAGTTAAAAAGAAACGCTGAAGTAAACATTAGACTTCCTTAAGTACTAAACAAATTTCAAATGCCCATAAGCAATAGCAGAATCCATGCCAAAAAAGTCGCAAGTTTTTGTTTGTTACCAACTAAAGTTTTAGGTTTCTCCAAAACGTTAAAGTTTTTACCGAAGCCCAAATGCAACAAAGTTTACCAAATAGCCTGCAATACCACGCAATAGCTTTCAGCTTGAACATTGCAGTAAATAAGAAAACAAAACGCCGGAAATTATCCATTTAGGACTGAGCTTAACATCAGGCGACAAAAATATAATTTGCATGTTTGCTAAAGAGACGAAAAATCGAATTTCCGGTTGATAGAAATCAATGAATACGTGCGAGAGTCGAGGCTGCCGGCAGAAATTGACAAAGAAACAAATTTCATGAAAATATGTATGTATATGCAGAATCGATCAAATTTGTATAATGCAAACAAATTAAAGGTGCTTTACTCAGCTGCGACATACAAAATAATTTATTTAAATAGGGTGTTATCAATTTGTGAAAATAAAATAATGTCGCACGTTTTAAGATTTCAGTAAAAAGGTTCAATTCATAAAGAACGTATAAGGTAATTGGCATATTATATATCCATTGCTCCAATCGTACAACACTACTAAAAGTATGTACTATATGAATGAGGGAAAAATGGTTATTCATTTTGTTCCTTCTTTTGATTTGAAACAAAATCGAAAGCGGAATATTGGGGGAAACATTGCTTAAGTTTGAAAAGATTTAGGTGTTTTAATATTAGGTGATTAGATTCAACTTTTAAAGAGACTATTAAGTACTCCTTAACAGAACTACAATAAAGTTTTGTGTAAAAGTTCATTTTTCTTTTTTCTACCGCAGCATTACCAAAAGATAGCGCAGTCGAGTTCTTGCAATAGCTTCTGATTTCTTTATTCTCGCACAGATCGTGAAAATTTAAAAACTAAAAAATAAATATTTCAAATAAATCGAATTCATAATCTAATGACAAATATGTGATAAGGAATCTTTAAGAATAAAACAAGTAATTGTATGACTCTTGATTGATGACAATAGGGAAAAATTCTCCATCAATATATACTACGTATTAAACGAACGTCGGTGTAACATCAGAAACTTTAAAAGTTGTGGAAATCACGCATCAAGAAAATGTAAATTGTTTGTGGCAATTACATTTTCATTTATAGTAATCCATCTACACAGGCTAGCAGGCGAACAGGCAAACAGGCAGCAAACGGGAAGGAATTAAAATGAAAAGCGCAAGGCAACAAGTAAGGGACCATAAATAAAATAAACAATCAACATAATCAGCACACATCGAACCATTGCCATTTACTCATACAAATTGCCTGGCACGTCCCGAGCGACTGAAGCGGCCATTGCCGCCAACGTTACCACCAAAGCGCAGATCATCGGCGGAGGGGCTGCGCAGGTAGCGATAGGTCGGCAGAAAACCGGAACGATAGACAGCGCCAATGTGACGCTTTTGTGGCTGTAACTGAAGCTCCCCATGCTCCTCGTAACCGGACTGAGACGTAGTATTGGCATCTGCATCTGTATCAGCGTCAGATTGCATGTCGCCGTTTTCAATGCCAAATAGCTCGGGATCCTTGGACGTATCTTTAGGTGCGTTTAATATTTAGAATAAATGTGTGAACGACTGTGCTTCATAGCTGCTAAATAGGTGCTTAAATGTGCCCACATATGCATACATGGCATATGTATGTAATAGTTAACCCCCGATAGTTCTTAGTCTTCTTATTACTCACCCAGAAATCGTTTCTCAGCGCGTCTGTAATCGTTCCAGTCTAGATCGGCGTAGCCAGCGTAGCTTGGATACCACCAATAGCTTTGCATGGGCAGTGCCATGGCTTGCGACTCGCCAAATTCAGGTGCAGAGAGCATTAACTCTTCGTCCTCGCGCTTCTGTTGAGCCCCATGCACCGGAGATCCCTTTAGAGCTCCCAAATTACGCTTCTCTGCACTAGCACGCGGCTGCATATGCTGGGAGTTATATCGCGCCACGGCTGCCACATTACGCTTGGGCTGATCGCGATGTGTGCCCGGGGCACTCTGCAGCATTCCCAGTCTGGCCATGGTGGCAAGGTTCCGTTTGCCGTTAGGCAGCTGAAAATCACGCGCCAAAGTGCCAACGTTTCGTTTGCCATAAGTCATTATTCCGCCAGCACGCGCGAGTGAGCCAATGTAGCGCTTTTGCTCACTCGGATCACCCGAAGCATCCTCCACATAGTCCTCTGGATCGGGCGTTGGCAACTGACCATTCTTAGCCAGCGTTGCCAAGCTACGTTTGGCACTAGACCCAGTCGGGCCAGAGTGCAGCAAGCCCTGAGCAGCTAAAGCTGCCACCGAACGTTTATCCTCATCTATATAGTCGCCATAGCCCACGCCCAGCTGCTGCTCCTCTCCCACAGCCAGCTGACGCTCACGCAAAATGTTCTTCAGCTGATTGCGTAAGGCTGAGACCTGTAGATAATTAAGGAGAGACTATTCAAAAATGTGTCCATACTTACAGCTGTTGAGAACTAATTAACAACGATCCATTTTTAATGTGCTCCATGAAATGTATACATTAATTATCTAGATTCGAGTTCTTTGAACTTAAAAACAAACCACAGTTGAATTGAAATTTATAACTCCAAACATTTTTTTTTTGAAAGATTTCCTGCCCATACCTCGGATGTGACTGAGGCAACTAATTTGATTAACAAAAAAATAAGAGAGAACGCTACAGTCGAGCAAGCCCGACAGTGTAATACCCTGTACCCAGGTAAACTTCCATCACTGAGTTATATGCGCCCATAGCGGCAGCAAAAAGAGGAAGAAGAAGAGCGAACTTGTTGCTGCAGTTTGGGGGTGTTATGCTGGAGAGAATTTGTTTCGCTAATAACTTTTGTTATAATTGACCGAATTGGATAAAATTAAACAAAAAATTAAAAATTAAACAACAGTAGATAATTATATATATATGATGTGGACAAAGTTTGGTTTAGGTAGCATTTGAAATGTGGACGCTATTGACGAAATGCTGTAGCGGGGGAAGGGGGGGAAAATTCAAAAAAATAAAATAAACTCGTCCTTTCTCGGACCTAGAAGAATCTGGATGCCATCTTTGGTTATTCTAGCTTTTATAGTTTCTGAAATCCTTGCGTTCATTCAGACGGACGGACAGACGGACGGACGGACATGTTTAAATCGATTTCTGGGGATTTATGGGGTCGGAGATGCTTCCTTCCTAAAATACCCTTTTTACCCTACGGGTACAGGGTATAAATATACAAGTATATATATAAAACCAAGAAAATATTCAATAAAATTATAGTTATAGATTTTACACCATATTTCTGCTTTAATACAGGCGCCGGCATCTTTCTACAGGTATTCCATGCCATGCAACTTTAACTTTTGGGAATAACGTGTCCAAATTTGTTATATTCTGTTAAGGAACACTTCTTAGGTCGTTCCATAAATGTTCAATGGGATTTAGTTCAAGACTGCACGATGACCATTTAAGAAGCCTAACAGAACTTGTATCTAAAAGTTATTTCGTTGGAGTTTAGGGTTTAGGCCAAGACACCGTAATTTTTTTATTCGCCGATGCTATCAGGATATCCCTCAATATATTGACTTACTTCTCCCATGTATAAACTCTCTCGATGCGGAATATGAGACCAATTCCATTCCATGAGAAACATTCCCAAATATTTATTTTGCCTTGACCATACTTAACGACAGTTGACACACACTTTGGATTTAGTTTTACTACTTTTGGACTTCCCGTATATTTTCTACCATCAAGACCAAGTCGGGCAATCTTTATCTCATTAGGGTGGACTACATATTTCCATTTGTTAAGCTTTCAATCAACATGGGTTTAACCGTCGTCGTCACTTGAATTGTAGTCGTTGTTAATTAGTAGTTCAACACTATACCTTTAAATACGAACATTTATTTAACAAATTTTGTTCAAAAATAAAATAAAATATAATATAGAAATAAAAATATACGAAAACTTCTTACATGTAGCTGATATTCCGGACTGGGGCTCATCAACTGGCTTATAATAAACTCCAGCTCAGTGGGCGACAAGCTTACCACATCGTCCGTGGCGTTCACTGCAAAGCCGTGCGGATGTATAGCCTGAAAGAGGAAGATTCGCTTAAGAAATTAATCCGAAAACGCACACATATTTCAATTAGCCTCATTAGACTGCTGCACAGTGGGCCAAACAGCTCTGCTAGTGAAATTTTACTAAAATTCAAGCAAATGAAAAGATATTTTAATGAAAATCTTTAACGCATGCATCACTCATTTTCTAATTGTTCAACATTGTACGTCAACTATATCTCAAAGCTCCCTTATAACTGATTTACTTATGTTTACAACTAACTATTTAATCAGAATCCGATGAATCTGAATCATTCAAAGTAATTTTAAAATTAACGAGCAACCCAGCAACGACTTTATCTAACTTGATATCTTTTTTCGAAAGTTTTGATGTTTTTGACAAAGATGTTATAAGCGGATCGGATGCTACAAGCAAACCGTTCTTCCATCATATATATATATATATATATATATACTTGTATCATATATCGCTGAAGTCTTTATTCCGGGCTTCTAGGACTTCTTCGGATATAGTTCAAAACGTCTGCAATATGTATTAATTAAAACCAAGGATGTGTCGACAAATATTTCAGCTGTTTTCTTTTGTCGACCCATGTCTGACTAACTTTTGAAATTGTGGTAAAATAGCGGCATATCAAGCCATTTCTGAGTTGTAATGCCATACTTTCTTTAAGTTTTTGGAATACTTTCATTTCTCTGTAAGCCTGCTAACGAAATTAGTCAATTTTCTATTTATTTCGGTCAATTCATTTTCAGATAAGTTTCTGTTTCGCTAAGTTACGTGCATTAGAGTAGCGTTTAGGAACTGACATTTAACCCAAAAAGTGCAACAAACTTAAGAATTGGACGTAGTTGGTATTAATTTTGGACATTTTTTCATCACAAATACCCACACTTTACATAAATGCTAAGTTCAGCTTTAATAAGATTGAATAAAGAAGTAATACAATACTTGCTGAAAGAACTTCTTCACATTTTTTTTTAAATTTTATTTCGACTTAATACCCGCTAGATAGGTCATTTGGGCCACTGTGCGCTGGCTATCAGCAGACTTTTATTTGCCACAATTATTTAAGCCGATTTAGCAACAAGCCTGTTGAGAAGAAACTGTTTTCACACATAATTACTGTCATAAATTTTGCTACTAAAGCACTATCTATCTATGGACTAAGACTTGGCAAATGCTGCAATATTTATAAATACATAAATGTAGTTATAGCCGTAAATGTAACACCTGTCAGTGTCCTGTCAGCAGCTGCTTTAGCGGTTGCCTCTTCGGACCAGCTCTGCACTGTACACATCCGTACACACCCACGCTTAGATACAAATAGACACACATACATATACAATCGCGACGTAAATGCGTGCAAAAACGTATGTCTACGTTCGTCTTATATAATTCTAATTTTAACCATTTCCATTAGTTAGTTACTTTCCTCTGATATAATTGACTATATTCACAGCTCGTACTACTCGCAGTAGTAGTTCGATAACTCTCTAGCTGCGAAAATATTAGAGATGCTTATGCACGCACTAGTCCTATTTACAACTACTATAGAAGCAGTCATTTATAAAAATTACAAATTTATTATTTTGCAAGATTATATGTATTTTCAGTTTGTTTTGGGCCTCATCACCCGACCAATAAAGAAAACGTGCTTGTCGTTCTGTATTGTGAATATAAATGGATGGTTTGCTATAAATTCATATTCAGGCTCACTTTCGCGCACGGCGGTTTTGGAAGCTGTGCGTATTTCTGTTAAATAGAAATTTAATGAAATATATATATTTTTTCATATGGAGTGTTGAGACTGTTTCCGTTTTACTCACTGGTATTCGTGACACTGCCTCCAACAATATGTTCTTCGTCCATTTCGACAAAACTTGTATGCATCATGGTTGCAACATGAAAAGGACGCAAGGGGCTGCTGCTCGTCATTCCGTTCATATGAATCGAGTCGAAAATCCTGCCCACGCCCATCTGTCTTAGCACTGATTCTAAAGGAACACTAAACTCCACCTTGAACTTTGGCAGCTGATAGTGTACTGGCACGAAAGTGCACTGCGATGTCAGATTCTTGAGATCATACCACTTCAGCTTACTACTAAGCGATCTCAGGTTATCGTCAACGGACTTGGGCAAAAGGATTGTCATGAATAGTTTATTGCCTGGGATTGGTAGTTGAATGAAGTGCATGTTTAGGTTGTGGGGCTGGTCACCATAGCACAACCAGTCATCAGACACCTTTATGGTGTCAACAATCATCCTTTTACCTCTGCTATAGTAAAATGGCAATTTATGGATTTCTGGTGCCGTCCCGCGGCCTCCGGAAACGTTCCACTTAGTTCGAAAGTAGGCGGCATTCGCAATGACAAGCTTTGTTGCGTTACTAATGGCATTGGATCTGATTATATTGTGGAGTTTGTTTCTCATCTGAAGACCTACTTGTACTTTGCTATTTATTTGTTTAGTGACACCACGCACGTCACTGAAATCCACGAGCTCGACTCGCCCCCCAAGTACTTCCGTGACAAGATGCTGATAAAATGGTTGTATACTTAGCGTACTGTCGACGTAAAGAAGATTGTCTATCTTAATGCCGCTAAGCTGAACCTTTCCTTTGTCCATAGTGTTTACTATATCATATAATTCTGGAATAGTGTCTGTAATGCCAAATAAGATGAGGCCCAGTGCCAAGTACGCTGTGGTCGGTGAAATGACAATGTTATCATCTATAAAGTCTTTGGCAATTTGGCTAAACAAGCGACTTGGAAACAGGTTTGCCTTTGCGGGCATAGATCGTAGTAGCAGGCAGCAGATTAATACTAGTGTGGGAAATTGATAAGCCAAAGATTCAAGACTCGTAAGCAAAAACGATTGAATTCCACTCACTTGCGCAGTTGATAGATTTCCCCATACTTCTCCGACTATCGCCGAAGCTAAACTGAGTTGTTCTGCACTTTTACAACCGTAACGTATTCATATTGATACAAAGTGGAGCTAATAGATGCGAAAAATTGTAGCTCATTTACGACAATAGGCCCACTTGCTTTCAAATAAATAAATAACTTGAGTTTTCACCTAGTCGCTGATTTTTATACCCTTCTTATATACTTGTAATTCAGAACGTTGAGAACGTTGAAGAGATAAAATCGCCAAACTTGGTATCCAAATTCTTCTAAGATCGTGAAAGTACACGTTTTTTTATGCATCCCCCTCCTACTCCACCACTTTCTTTTCTAGACTTAATTTTCGAACCATTAAAGGCATACACTAAACTAAGATGTAATAGTTATTTCTTCTTTGCTTCCACAGAACGTTTTTACAAATTTCATACTAGTAACCAAACTAAATGTTCTTAAGATACCGAAATCTTTTCAATGTTCACAATCTACAACTATCGAACAGCATTTGATTCGATTAAAAATTTAAAGGAGACTTTGATCTGAACATAACATGACCGGCATACCACAAAAGCACAACAAACAACTCAATAGAACAACTAGAGCTGCTTGTGTGTGAAAACTCATAACAATATTTTAGGAACAATAAACAAGTTAGAAACACGGCACGAGTAAAGACAAGACAAAAGTTGAAACTGAAGCAACAGCATGGAAAAGAGTGCTTTGTGTTTGCAAACAAAATGGTCGTTCAAGTAAAAGGATAAAGGATAAGCCCAATGTATGCGTGTGTGTGCGGCATTTCCTTGCACACCCGCCCAGACAAAGCTTCCGCTTCTAATAACCCGACCAGGTCGGGGGCGGCAGCAGTGGAAATGGAAGTTTCTTCGTAGTCGGAACTGCTTGCCGGAGGCGTAACGTTCGTAAATCTCGAACAGAATTGACAACTACTTATGTGCACTCATGTGTCCATGAGTGCGAGTGTATGTGTGAGTGTGCTTTTATGCTCAACAATATTGTTATTAGTTGAGCGTTTCTGTGAGCGTTGTGTTTGCTTATCTGTTATTAGCACTTGAAATAATGCCTTCAAGGTGTTGCTTGAGCCCCGTGAATAATATGAGTCTTTTCGTTTATCACAAGTCCGTGTCTGAAGCATTCAAGTTGAAGAGTTGAGCGTTGGCAGCAGAGAAAGGCCAATCTGGGTTACTTCCTTATTTTCAATATGGATATTCTTTAAATGTCACAAGCTTCCAAAGCTCTTCAAGAATGGCAGGGTTTATCAGATAGACTTATAGGTCTTTGGCTTATTCATTCACATTTTACAAAACAAGTTATAGATTTTTTTAAACTTCTCATTCAGTTTAAATCATTTTACTTGTAGTGTGTACAAATAAAACCGTATACGGGTACTACGAACAAGTATAATGAAGGTCGTGCTAAATGAAGCCACATATCCATATGTTTATGTGATATTTTATTTGGAACTAAACACTTTTGTGCATAAGAGCAGTTGTCCTCCATCATTTGTACTTAGTTGTAGACAACAATAAACTTTAGTTAATAATTGTATTACATTTAAATAATGAAAAAATCGCCTTTTAGTTAAGTTAGTTGCAATGAAACTAACATATTTAAATATTAGATGGAATAATAAAATATAATATAATCCTGCAAATTCAATTACGAATACTTTGCTTTGTTCAAGCTGAAATCGGCACCCCAAGATAACGAAACAACCATTATCTTCATTCTTTATCCGCGCCAAAGCAGTGCTCTATAAAAGCAGCAAAATGTAACAGACATTTGGGAAACGTGGTTTTAATGGCATGGATATAATGTGACAAGCCCCGTTTGCTTCCGCAGTAAATTTAAAACGCGAATGGAAGAAAAGCGAACGTGCACGTAAATTTTCACTCAATAGCGTGGCGATGGGGGGTTGGCATCTATTGTTGGCTTAGGCATTGGTGAGTGAACAGCAACAATAGTTGCATGAAGCAGAAATGTTGCAAGTGCTACACTATTTTGCATTTAAAGATTTTACGCAGAAAACTTTAATCCGGGCGCTCTGAGACTCTCTTAACTTGGTCGTAATGCCGAAAATTTTATGCGCC